ATATTTTAAGTTTAATAAATTCTCCTGGCTTCCACGGGCGTGTGGCCATATCAAACGCCATTCACAAAACTCTTAGGTCTGTCGCTTACAATGTATAGCATTACAATGATGAGTGTGCCACAGGTAGTTGAATAATGAAAACATTAAAATTAACAGATTTAAAAATAAATGTATTTAAAAAGCATTCATTTAACATTTAACTAAAATATAGTTGTGTATTTAATAATAATAGTTTGATAATAATAGAAGTATATTTACTGTGTTACAACTAATACGATTCAGTGGTAAATACATGTTTTATTCAAATATATGTGAAATATAATAACGCGACAAAAATTTACTTTTTATTCCTAGAGCATATATTTGTTTAAACGTGCAACTAATGTGGATGAAATATTTGAAGTGCTGCCACCAATAAGTGGCTCAATAATTTGTATTGCAAAAATCATTAGCTTGACTCGTAACACTGAAAAGGTAAGTATAATTATTTTGTAATATTAATTATCTCGTTACAACAAGCATTACTTCAGTTTAAGATTCTTTTGGACCAAATATATGATGATTGGAAAAATTTGTTAACGAGTGAAGAAACACAAATTTTAATTAATTATGCTGAAAAAAGTCGAAAATTTACATTAGTATATGCAAGTATGAATTCAATTTCTTACTAATAAATTCTAATTAAGATATCGTTAATCAATTTACAATATCTATGACAAATTAAATAAAATATTTAAATAAAAATATTTAATAAAATATTTAAATTTATTAATAAAATCAAATATTTTAGAAACTAAATATATGACAATAAAATCATACAATAATATAATTTAAATTTTTATGTAAAACAGTTACTTATTAATTTCTTCTATATAATCATAAAAACAAATTTATTTTATTTTATATATTTTATTATTATATTTATATTATTATTTTAAAAAGAAATAAAATATTGGCTTATTCTTTTTCTATATTTAGTTTCTTTAAGCGGATGTGTGTTGTGTTATACTTCGGAACCTCTTATTAGACCTATACTTGATATCATTTTACCTCTAAACGAAACAAGACCGAAAGAATTTCCTACTATGGTGGACTATGTCATCAATCAAGAAAAATATTATTATCCTCTTCTGCTGAACACATATTTTAGTTACATTATATCCATGTTATTCGTGATAGGTACTGACACCACATATATTCTATTAATAGAACATATTTGCGGAATGTACGCCATATTATGGTAAGAATTAGTTAATATCAATCTATTATAATGTATTTAAAACAATAATTTAATTCGCACTAGTGTCAAATTCAAATGTAAAGTGAAAATTAAATCTATGTAAACACTAAGGATACGCTGAAACGAATAGTCGGACAGAAA